GAAGACCACACCGGTGTCACACTGTCATTAAGAACAGGACACTGAGGCTACATGGGTCAGTACTACAGGTAGAAACATGGGGGGCACCATCAAGAAGGCCCTGAGTAAATGTGGTTATTCCAGCTGGACATTTGTCAAGTGCAGGAGGATTACCAGGATTTATATATCGGGGAAACCAAACAACCTCTGGCTACAACACAGCAGAGCCACCTCGTCAGGCCAGGACTCTGCAGTCTGTTCACACCTACAGGCCAGTGGACACTCAATGATGAGGATGTAACATCCTGGACAGGGAGGAACGCTGGTTTGAGGGCGGAGTCAAGGAGGCCATTTACGTGAAAAGGGAAAGACCATCTCTGAATCAAGGAGGGGCCTAAGGGTACATCTGTCACCATCTTACATGCTGTGATTGCAGCCATTCCCCAAATCTCTGTGAATGGTACTCATGGTTATTGATCAGTGGTCATGAGAATTTGCATATTAATGATCGTAAACTGACCTCACAGCCCATTGTTCCTTCAGTGGTTTCAGTCATTGTGCAAATGTCCTGTTTATAAGATTGAAACCTGCAGTCAGCTGAGACTGAAGACGTCACCTGATGATGATGTTTCTCCCTCTGAAAACGTCCAGATGAACAGAATCAGCTTTCTGGGATTCCCTGTTTCAAAGCTCAGATCATCTCAGAGTGATTTCATGAAAATCACGATGAGTTCATTGCACTCAGTCACAGATCAGTCCGACAGAGCAGGTATGGGATGTGGAGGATCAGGAGATTGTCACCATGGATGCAGCAGCTGTGTGATGATTTCACGATGATGTCACATCAACATGGAGCCAAATCTCAGCAGCTGAATCTGAGCATAAAGATTAATTCTTCATGTTGTTTAGACTCCACTGAAAGAACAGCGGAGTCCAATCTGGTACTAGCACAGTGCAGCTAATGAAATGAAGCGTTTGATATGTGCGTTCTTGATCCGCAGTCATCAGCAGAGAACTGAATCTACAGATTTCCACTGCAGAGAAGCTGAAATGGAGGAAACATCTTTGGCTTGGTTGGTTTGGGGGACAGCTGATCTCGAGGTCTCGTGTATAGGTTTTATAACATCAGTTGTTCCTAAATAATTTAGTTTTATATAAAAGTCCGGCTTTAAACATGCAGCTCAATGTTTTACATTTTAGTTCACGTTTTTATGCGTCTGCCAGGGGCGGATCTACAGGGATGGCATGGGGTGGCATGTGCCACCCTAAAATAATCTCTTGCCACCCTTTGTGATTTGCTTATCACAATTAAGTTTATTAACATAAGCTAGCATTAACACTTTGAGCTTAGCTACAGTTAGCACTGAATATAAATTCTAAAACTGAATATATTACAACACCACTAAAAAATGGTTCAGCCCATACCTTTATTTCTTGTTGTCAGTAGCACTCGATGCCTGTGATTGTCCCAGAGCACATTTTGAATCAACACTGTGGGCATTTGCAGATTTCTAGTTGTTACACTGTGGAAATGAAATGAAGGTGAGTGTTATTAACCCTCTGGGGTCAAACAACATGCCACACCTCCAAATCATGTACCACCTTTTCTTACTAGTGGAAAAGTGTAAACATGTCGACCAATAAAAATGATACGGAACAATGTGGGATTTAATTATTTGGTAGGAACAGAGAAACGTTTTGGGAATGATGGCGCTGAGAGCGAGTTTTGTGATGTGTAGCGTGTTTGGAGTGTGTAGTTAGTGTGTAGTTTTTGTTTTGTTGTGTGTGTCAGAACAACACTATCACAGTTGCTGCCAAAAAGCCACCAAAGACGGATTGAAGCGTAAACGCTGAGTGATGCACCTCCTGCTGTCAGGCCTGTGGTGCTCTCCTCTGTGGACTAACTTGAATAATTTGAGTATCATCTTAACTGTGACACCTGATTGTTCTCTCGTTTTAGTTTAAAATGGTTATATAAATGATAGGGTGGCTGCAAATCAGGGTAAATAGTTTCGTATAACTTTATTGTTTACAACATGTGTGCATAAGTTAATTAAATGCAAATATAAACTGTAAATTTTAAGTTATGAAAGTGATTCACTAAACAGGTAAAAAATAGAACTTTTTCCCTACTTGGTTTTTATTTTTTTTACAATATGTCAATGAAAGAATAACTGTAAATTCAGACATGTGAGGCAAAAATATTGTTAAAGGTAAAATCAAACTGTAGTAAATAATGAGCAGTTATACCCTGGAGCCCGGAGGGTTAACCTCATACATCATGAAAAAATAGGTTTACAGTTCTGGTGAAAAATGTTTCATGATGCTGTAGATTTCTGACATTTTGTGTAAATTTAAGCAACAATGTAGCTTTCTATATATTCTGCATGCTTATTTATGATACAGGCTATATGTTTGTGAAGGTTCTCAGTCATCCATCCAGGTCATTGTAGCCTAAGGAGCATGGAAAGAAAAGTCTGGACGCCCCACCTCTCATTCGAGAAGCTTCTTCAGTCATGGACCCCCCCATTAGGTAGAGGACCAATAGGGGATCCATGACCCTCTTGCGGACACTCCCATAGGGCTTAAAATCTGGAACTCTCCACCAATTGCGCTTAAAACTGAAAAAGCTTCTTTAATGAAACGTCTTCAAGAAAACTTAAAAAAAGAAGCCCAGATGCTTTTTTTCTTTCAAGCTTTCTTTCCAAGCTGCTTAGACCATCCAGGCTAAACACAGAATCAAAATTCACATTTTATGTAACTGAAATGCTTAATTATGTGGGGTAAGAAAAAGTTAGAGTATATTTATACGAAACGTGTGTATACTTACTGCATTTGATGTTTTATAACTGTGTATAATTCATATTAAAGGATGTAACACCTGCAAGTGTGTAAAATAACGGCTTTGATTTTGCCACCCTAAGAAATGTCTCTAGATCCACCCCTGACGTCTGGGACAACAGGGCATCCCCAAAACATATACATATGACAGGGGTACAGCCCCTCGGCAGGCTTCCAGACGCTGACCAACCCGCTTTATCAAATGGGTGGAAGAAGTGGCAACAACAGAAAAGTCTAAATCTAAACAAGTAATTAATCACACTAATACTTGGGTTGAACCAACCTGATCTCGCGTGTTCTCACGGCTCTCTGAGGTTACAGCAGCACGTTATTTCACGTCTCTCGAACATTAGAAAACGGGAGTTCCACAAGGTTCGGTTTTGGGTCCACTATGCTTTAATTAGACATGAACGAGTTACCAGACAGCTATAAAGACGCAGAGGGTCAACTGTGAATGTAAAACTGTAAAAACCGTGAATAACACAGCGCTAACGGGAGGAAATAGACACAGAGATACAGAGATGAGCAGGAAGTCCCTAAAGAATCAGCTACAAACGCATCACATCAGTACCGTCAGTGTTCTCCATCTTAGTTTGTGTCTGACAGTCACAGGCTTGTGGTCCAAACTCCAGTTAGTCTGACTGAAGTCGAGGGTGCACTGTTGTCTCTGCTTGTCTGTTTTTTCACTGATTTTCCTCAGAGACAAAACTGCGTGGCTCCTGACACCAGCTTCGTCCACAGAGGAAACCCACAGTGGCGTCCAACCTCTGATGGACGCGTGCAGGGAAACATTTCTGCGTTTCATCCGTTTCTCTCAGATTTATCACAGAAAAAAACCTCAAAATCCAGACGAGGAGATAAATGAACCGATATAATCTCACAAATTACTCTCCAGATTATCACACAGTATGACGTCATTTATTTCTCTAATAGTAATCACCTAAGTACCTATCAGAGCTTTAGTTTACACACCAGAGCTCGTCTACAAACATCTAAACCTAAACAGTTACTTGATGTTATAATTACAAAGAAAAAAATAGAAAACTTCACATCATTATAAGAAAAAAATTATTATTATTACGAGATCAATTTTCTCCTTTGAAGTGACAGCACTGGGCCTCCATATTTAACTGGATTTTATTTTGGGGACCAGGTGAGGAGGAAGGTGAACAGAGGCCTCCAGAAAGTTCACAAACCACACGTCAGATTTCAGCCTCCCCTCGGGAGCAACAGCTGAGGAAGATGATGAGTTTTCATCCTTAGCAATAATCAGAAACACTGAGAACATTTTTTAAAAAGACCCACAATCCCCCTGGTGTCTGCTGTTGAGGAGCCAGAACATGCCAACCGTCAGAGAGGTCCGTCTGAGGCGGGGTCAAAGACCTGAGCACCGTTAGTATCGCTGGGGAGGAACTCGAGTTCCCACCAGGAGCAAAAGTCCGGAGAGGTCCTCGTCACACAGCAAACCTGAACACCAGCTGTGAGGGTTTCAGTTTCCTCTGACTTGCTTAAATCTGCTGCAGTTGGTGGACATGATGAAATATTCTATCAAAGAAACGCTGGAAATGCTAAACATTTAGTTTTACACTTCCTGGGCAACGCAGGCGACCTGCACTTTCTCTAACATCCACTAGAGACAACAAAACAGCTGCATGGCTCCAGTTTTATGTGGTCTGCTATGTATGGGGGCGTGGCCTCTTTGACTGACAGATGGATGGTGACACAGGCGGCTGTGGCTGCTAGCTGTCTGTGAGGCTTCAGACCAATAATACGTCTGCTGCTAAGAGACGGTTTGAGGAAGCGGGGCAAGAGTTTAGGTGCACAGTGAAATCTGAGATTGTTCATTGGATGTTACTGAGCACTGGTTAGCAGGTAACTCCATCTGTGCGACGCTCCCCAAACAGTTTGTGATAACAACCCAGCTGTTATTCAAATATGGCCACTTCAAACCCAACACGGCGCCAACAACGAGGTTTCAAACATTCAGAAACCAACGGACGACATCCATCAGTTATACACTGGCTAACAAAGATCATCAGGTTGCCTGATAACTACACAAACTACAGGCCGCTGCTTCAACTCAGCCACTTCAAATGTCATCAGGTTGTTAAAAGATCATTATAAGTCATCGTGTGTGAATGTGTGTGAATGGGTGAATGACTGAATGTGTAAAGTGCTTTGAGGTCCTTAGGAACTAGTAAAGCGCTATACAAACACAGGCCATTTACCATCGTCACCACCATATTTACGGCTTGGCCGAGCCACGTCGTCCATCCACCACAGGACATCTGTGTCTAGCTAATCTAAGCTGAACCTCAGCCTCATCAGGTTTTGGTGCCCTAATCTCACCAGACAGGAACTGAAAAAATCGAAACCAGATGTAAACCAAAAGTCTGACACGGTTAGTCCAGCCAATCAATGAGCACCAAGCTCTCCGTTAGTTTAATGTAAGGATAACAGCCGAGGCAGCTAACAGGTACGTGAGGATCTCTGCTGATTCGCCCTCTGAACTGTGACATCACAAAATGATTTGGGGAAACTTTCCTAAATGTGGATCTTAGTTCAGATTTCAGCCGGAAGGATTAAATTGAGGTTGAATTATACGGTCATATTGTTTGTTACGCCCCTAGCAAGCCCCTAATCTCCTCAATGTGCTCAGATGGTGCTAATTGGCCACACCTAGTCCGGTGTGGTATTCATCGCCTTTTTTATGTTGCGGCTTTTGAGCAGGGTCGTAACATGTTGGAGGAGACGATGCTGTCCGGGTCTGTCAGACTGGACGAGCTCGGAGGAGAACTGCGAGGCCGGATGGTCAGAAAGGTCTGGAGGAGACGGCAAGGAAGGCTGAAGACCGGCTTCTGGACAGCAGCGGGCTCTTCCAGTGCACCTTCATGTGGTGCCTCAGGTTGGACTTGGAGGAGAAGCGCTTGTCGCACTGCTGGCAGGAGAACGGCTTCTCCTTGGTGTGGATGCGGCGGTGACAGATGAGCGCAGTGGAAACCCTGAAGGACTTCCCGCAGTCAGGGCACTGGTAGCGTTTGGGCTCAGTGTGGATGCGCCGGTGGTTCTTCAGGGACATCAGGTTGGGGAACTCCTTCTGGCACGAGCTGCAGAAGTAGGTCCCGGTCTTGTGGCTGTTCTTGTGGTTGAGCAGGGAGCTGGCGTGGCGGTACGAGCGACCGCATTGGCCGCAGACGAAGCTCCTGGAGCTGCTGCTCGAAACCACCGGCCTCAGATCTGGGAGGAGAGAAACACGAAGGTTTCAGTTCAGGGTAACCCACAAAGGGTCTGTCGGCTCTGAAGCTCACTGTCAGATCAGCCAATCACAGAGTCGGAATATTATGTTGTCACTCCAATTTTCCAACCAGGAAAAGCTGGAAAACACCCCCAAAGCCTCCAAACTTCTCTTTGGAATTTTGAAACGAGCGGCTCGAGTGTGTCATTTATCAAGTCAGTGACGAGAACGACCGGACGAATACGAAGCAAAGCCGGAGGGTTTATTTTAGGGAGTGTGCTGTGCAACCATCTCGAGCTTCCTTCAGGTAACACTGATGAGAAATATCTGAACAGTAACACCTGTGTTACGCCTGTCACGCACTGCCTGCAGCTCCTGTGATTGGCTGCTTCCGTACCTCTTATCTTGTCTCCTCAGCTGTCAAAGCCCTGCACAGGTGTGAGCCACGTGAACACATACATGGGTTATATATGCAGGACCATAATGAACGGCATCACGTTTCTGACGCTCGTGAGATTTTTCTAAAAAAGGAATTAAAGTCACAGGATGTGAAGAGTTTCATTATAAACTGATAAACTACAAACGTGTCACACGACTACGTGTCCGATAAACGCTAAAACACTTTAATTACGTGATTATGTTTTTTAGTGTGAATTAAAGATCAGATTGTCATCAACATTAGACTGCAGAAAATAAACACATGAATTAAATCCTCAGATAAACATCAGAAAATTACAAAATCATTTCATTTAACAAACATAATTACTGGTGCCTTAAATCAGGGGTGTCCAACTCCAGGCCTCGAGGGTCGATGTGCTCAGGTTTTAAACGTGTCCTCGATCCACACAGATGATTTACATGTGTTCTCCAGAGGCCTGTTAATGAACTCATTTAATTCAGGGTGATATCTGAAACCTGCAGGACACCGGCCCTGGAGTTCCCCACCCCTGCCTTAAAACAAAAAACCCATTTATACGTCAGCGACTCGATCGTCTTCTAACCGACAAAGCTGTATGTTTGCTCTTATTATGAACTAATGATAACTTAATGATAACACCTTCGGCTGTTTCCTGGGGGAGAAGTGTCCAAAGATCCAAAATCATCAGTGATGACACAGACAAACCTTAAAGTTTCTGTCACACATTTCATAACTCTGTGCTGTCAGCTTTTACATTAACAACATAGTGATGCTGAATTATCATTGTGACTCAGAGTAACTTATTAATAGTAATTAAACACATCTAATAATGAGCAAACATCATTTATGGGATAAAAACTGCAGTTTTTCCTTCAGTGAGTGAAACATGGATTTTTATTACCGTACTATCTGCACTATAAGGTGCACTTAAAATCCTTTATTTTCTCAAAAATTGACAGTGTGCCTTATGTATGAATTCTGGTTGTGCTTACTGACCTTGAACCGATTTTATGTGCTACACGGCGCTCAAAGATCTGTCAAAAAAATGTTTTAGTACGACTTTGTTAGCTATGAAGCCGCACTGCTTGATGGATTGTTGGAGCCTCACAAAGGAATCTGGGTCCTGGGTCCTTGGGCTAGCTGGTATATAATGATGTGCTACATGATCGCTAGTGAAACAGCTATGTTTGCATAAACACAGTGAAGCTGGAGGATGAACACTAACTTCTTTCCACTCGATAAAAGTTAATGTGAAGGTTCCTGATGGTTAGAGACAAATGCAATCACATGGCAGGATGCTGTACACGGACCAAACTTCAGTCAGAACAACTGAGATAATCCATCCACAATACGAGGTTAGTCATTCATATACTGCAACAACACGGGAACAGAGCTGCTGTGATAGAATACAGCATTAATGAATCAATGGTACAGAAGTGGAGGAAGCAAGAAGAATGAGTCGGTTTTGTTCCGCTTAATGCGCCTTAAGGTCCAAAAAAAAAAAAAAAAAAAAACGGTAATAGCAGCTGTGTGTCACAAACATTAGACTCATAGTCGTGTGAAAACAACTTTACTTCACTGACGCTGTAAAAACCTTCAGACCGTCTGCACTCTGATACTAAAAGCTGGAGATGCATTCAGCAGGTTCTGCACCAACTTCCTGCCAACACCAGTGAAGGTGCCGGGAGAGACGTCGATGTGGACGGAGTGAAAACACCGAGTGTCACTGTGTTTTTCAGCTATTTATTTTCAGTACTCAGCAGTAGGGTTATAGTTTATGGACAAGATCTTCTGTTACGAAATGAATTATCAAAACATAGTTTATAAAAGTGTATAGTAAGCATTACATATATATGCATGGAAACCAAAAGTTAGAACTCAAACAAAAGAAAAAAAGGGGGGGGGGGAGTAGTAGTTGTGCCAAACCAGTCCTTTTCTTCTTCTCTACAAACTAGTTGAAATGCAGGCGGAAAGTGTGACACAGAGAAGAGCAGGCATGGCGAGGACAACCAGACGGAGGATGGACATTTATTACTTCTGTGTTCTAGATCACACGGACTCCTACAGCACTTGACGGTCACTGCACGGCTTCACTTTTAACTTTTCTTTTTAAACTAGCACCAGTGCTGAAAACACGCACACGCACACGCTTCCCAAACAATTAAATAAAAAGGAACAAAACACCAATAAATACAGGAGGTTACCATAAAGAGGAACAGAAAGGTCGGCGGGCACACCGAGGCGTCCCTTTCAGTCTGATTTGATGAAGAGGAGGAGATAAATATGGAAGAAGAGAGGGATGAAGGAGGGTCACATCATCACTCGTGAAAGAAGGCAAGAAGAGCGTCTCCGGCGTGTTTCAGGTCCTCAGTGAAGTCCACAGAGAGGGGCATTGTGGGTAAAAGGAGGGCGGGGTGTTTACATCAACACAGCTCTAAACTCACATCCTAAACACTAGCGCTGTCCATTACAAGTGTTAATAATAATGATAATATAAATAAATGAATTACTACATGATCTGTCATCTTTTTTCCTTCTTGCAGAAACGTCGAGTTCGTACAGCCGCTCGCCTCCCGCCGCTCAGGCCTCGCCTTTTTGTTTTATCATACTTACTGGGGCTGGAGAGAGGAGGGGAGGGGAGGGGTCACTTCCTGTTCATACGTGTGGACGTAAAGCGCGAGAACGGACAGTTCAAGGTGGAGCTGTTGGTTTCCTGAAAGCTTTTTACGCTGCAGTTACACCTACTGAACACCGGGGGCAGGGGAGGGTCGTTTTCACTGCAAACAGCGAAGAGGTCTGAGTGTTGTCATGGAGATCGATCACAGGGGATTGTTTTCCCTCGTGTTTTTTTAATGAAAGTTGAAGGATTTTTATTGGTTTTTGCTGAGATTTCCACTTCCTGTGACCCGCAGGAATAAAAGCTGCTCGTAGCTTCTGAGTTTAAAAAGATGCCTTAAAACTGCGCTCTACATGATGACCACCAGGAGGCGACACCTGCAGACACCAATAAAACGTTCTTCTTTCCTTATTAAACACCTTCGGTTCAGATGGAGGCGAGTCAGCAAGAAAATGGGTGACATCACACCGGCTACGTTTGCTTCTGGCTCGTGGCGCTGTGACATCACACTCACAAAAATGTGTCTTACTAAAAGAACTGTAAAAATGGAAGTGAATCTACCGTCTCGAGGATTTCTGCCTAAAACCAGACGAGTGCTTTTCAGCTCCACAGTCTCATTTATTCTGGAAGAGCTCGAGAGCGCCCCTGTGAGACAGGAAGTCCATGGGTTTGTTGCGTTAATGCCATCTGTTAAAAACAAATCCTTCTGGGGTTGAAAGAGTGGATCTCGTGAACATGATTATTTAACACTAACTCGACATGTCTGTTTCCAAACAGCTGGATTCAGTTTCACTCTCTGACACGTTTATTTTAGCGTCCGTCGTGAGGTCGAGGGTCGTTTGGAAGCTCCGAGTCTTTTACTCACTTTGAACCGTTTGACGCATTCAACCACCAAAACGGTTTTTTTCCCCTGCACTGAAAATGAAACGACGCCTAAAACGAGAAATAAGGGAAGCAGCAGTCATTCCTGCTGATGTTCCTGAGTGTTTCCTCCAACCTCCTCCTTCAGGAAGTCTCTGATCTATAAATCTGTAGGAGCTCGAGCAAAGGAAGCAAACGTTTTAAAATACTGACAGTTAATTAACCTTTAATATTTAACAGTGAAAGGATAATTAACGATGTGTAGTGATCGGCTGTGTGTAGACCAACGTTCTTACACAATGACACGGCGGCACCGTTAACCTTTGTTATATGATTTTTGTTAAACTACGCTAACTTTTTAACGGTTCGTGAGGCTGACGTGGAGGCAGACGAGACCCAAACTATAACCGAAACTTAACGTATTACTCTCGACTTGGTGCAAATGTCTGAATACATTCAGTTAGTTTGGTGGACTTGGACTTCCTCCGTGTTGTTTTATACTTTGATCGGGTTGTTTCCTGTTAGTGTCATGCTGTCTGCTGATTGGTGAGGAAACGTAATGAAAGGAGGCGATTCTCTCTTTTCTTTTTTGTTGCTTCAAAGAGGTGAAATTAAATCAGGACACTTCGCTGCATGTACAGTTTCCTAAATGAAAGCTCGGACCAACCCACGAACATCCCCGTTTAAATAAAGTTTAAATAATATAAAAAACTGGATATAAAATCAGACTGAGGTATGAACTCTGCTGGTGTGATAAGACAGAGGCCTGAGGAAAAATATTTAAACGCCAATCAGCTGATGATCAGATTAAAAGGAGTCGTCTTGTGATTCTTCATCTTACACAGACGCCCTGTCGCTGCCCATTAGTGGGCGGTGAAATGGTCCACGACCACTCCAACAGTCATTTTCACATGAGAACGTTTGGTTTGAACATATGACACGTGTTCCGTTCACAGCATTAGCGTGTTCACAAACAGGACGCGCTACAGGAAGTCTGAAAACCCTCTTTTTAAAAACTGATCACGTCTTTAATCAAACTTCAGGCGCTACGGGAGAAAGACCATTTTAAACCGCACGCAAGCCGCAGCGGTCTCTCAGCTCCGGGTCCACACGTGTGAACAAGAAGTCAGGAAGTGCTCACCGCTGCAACACACAAGAAGACACGCACACATACACACACACGTTTAAAGCAGTCCCTCTGAGTCCAAAGAGTCCATGTTCAGTCCTAAAAGTTCCCACAAGTCCTTGCTGCCTCCAGGCCAAAAGGATAAAGGTACAAAACACGAATCTGGCCTGCACGCTGTTGATCAAAACAGTCTCTCCAGACCAGATTAGAAACACTGTGACGAAGGCCACGGGAAGAAAACGTCCTGTAAACACCATCAGAAACAGGACCAATCAGACTCCCGCGCTCCATCTGGGTGCAGCTTGATGGCTGCGGCCTCGTGGTGCACCAGTCCATGGCAGGGAAACATAACAAGGCAACATGCAGCAGAGGGTCAGTCCAGTCTGCCTGTCAGTCAGCGTGCGGGGCAGCATAGTGCTCTGTGAGGGTGTGTGTGTGTCTGTGTGTGCGTGCGTGTGTGTGGGGCGTCACGTCAGTCTGTCCTCCACACACACCACAGCCACACATGGTCAATGAGGAAGGCTACGCTACATTTTTGGCACCTCCACAATCTTCGGC